ATACTGTCAGAAATTAGTTGTTTTCTAGCCTAGCAAACTGTAACCTTAATACTGGATGGCAGTACTGCCAATGTTATTTCACTGCTGCGTCTCGTTTCTATTCTTGGCTTCAAAGCTAGGGACATTCTTGAAAACATAGAAGAAATTGTTACATGGGAATATCAGGCCCCCATAGATAAAGGAACCAAACTAGGGAGTTTTCCTGGCTCATAAATCCTTAAAGCATTCTTGGCAAAGGGAGGCTGCTATCCCCTACGCAAGGCTATAGGAATACTCCATAGATAAGATAGACCAGAGACAGGAGCTTGAACAAAAGAACGCTTTAAAGATCCCATTGGTAACAAATCTTTCTCTCTGATTGGATAAACTTTGTTTCTATCTGCCTAAAATGTAGATAATACTCTGAGCCGCTTTTCCAGGCTGTGGCTATTCCTTACATGCATTTGTATGTATGGTTTGGATACAGTTTTGTCACCTAGTTTTTGCTACGGGCATAAATAAAAGCTGGGTTTTTTTTTTGCAAGCCTCGCCTCGAGTCTCCACGCTCTTTGCCATTTCAGTGGCTCTGGGAAACTGCTGGAACCTTACAAAGCGATGATGGGATTTGTAGGGCAATACCTGGCTGGTGAAGGCAGCCTTAGGCATGGAGGAAAGGGAGGAGAGATCTGCTGCTCCCTTTCTCACTCCTCTGTGTGCTTAGGAGGCCAACATGAACTGGAAGCAGCAGAACCAGCCAAGGGGAGAATGAATGCCAGGGCTTGGCGATGAGCCCCTGTTGGCATGTGAACCTGGGGGTGGGGTGGGGGGAATCTGATGAGGCTGAATTCTTGCTCCCAGTTCTTCAGCTATCAGGACAATCATCTCAAAGAAGGACAGGAGGCCAGGATGGGAAATTAGATTTGAGCTTTATTTTTTAGGCTGTCAGCTGTGACCAGGGGGGCCTTTGCCCAGGTTCGCCTGGTGCATCAATGGCGGCCCTACTTGGATCGGGGCACACTTCAAACAGTCACTCACGCCTTTGTCGCCAAGGCTGGATTATTGCAATGCGCTCTACATGGGGCTACCCCTGAAAAGCGCTC